ATCGGGCCCTTATCAAATATAAAATATTAAATGGAAAAGAGGATATTGATAGGGATCTGTTTTTCGATTTGGCAGTTGACTCCGTTACTAGAGGTCATACTGTAGTTGGAAATTAAAAAGGCCTTATGCTCTACTACTACTCTCTATTGTAGGAAGCACTATTTTCCCAAAGGGTGGTAAACGGATGGAATGCTCTTCCTGCCCACGTCGTGGAAGCTGAAAGTACCACACAGTTTAAGAGAAGATACCAGAAGACAAGGTGTGGGGGGGGGGCTATTAAAAGGTCGGAAACGAGCCACCAGCCCTCAGCGCCACTTAAATAATTTAGTGGATTTACGGTAAATTAACGGTGAGTTATCAACAATGAGAAACCAGTGGTCACTTTCACACATAGGGCCTATACTTGTTCCTAAATCTGGTAATCTTTCTAATACCTCAGAGCCGGCGGAACGTTTTTCAAAGTGGGGGGGGGGGCACTTATAAGATGAACGGGAATATGAATCACGTAGATCTGGAATCAAACCTAGGGGATGGGGGTCAACATTTTTTCAAAACACGAAAGGGGATCCGGGAGTCCTCCAAGGGAAAATTTTGATTTCTAGATGACGGGAAATGACCTTTCTCGACTTTTGAGCTAGGTGTCTAATGACTGTTCTTCAAAATTCAAGGTTTTTCCGTCTTGAAAACGGTCAGGTAAATTGGCCAGTTATGTGTGTATATATACACTTTAAAAAAAATAGTAGTTGCATACGTATTCTTTTTTCAATGAATAGATAAGCTCCCCCGGGAAAATTTTGATTCCTAGAAGGCGGGAAATGAGTTTTCCCGACTTCTGAGGTGTCTTAATTACTTTTAAGTTCTTCAAAATTCAAGGTTTTCCCCTCTTGAAAATTATTATGATGAATCAATGAACCCAAAGAGAAAAGGGAGGTTCAGGTTCTCTCCGGGAAAATTTTGATTTTTAAATGGTGGGATGAGCTTTCCCGACATCTAAAGTATCTTTTAGCGACTTTAATTGAAGTTCTTCAAAATTCAAGGTTTTCCCCTTTTGATAACGGTCAGGTAAATTCTTCCCATTGTTATTACAGCGGATAGGCCTTATGTGTTTTTACATACATAAACAAATTGAGTAGTTGCATACGATTTTTTTTTCCATGAATCAATAAATCCCAAAAAAGAAAGGGGGGTCCAGGGGTTCTCGGCCGGGAAAATTTTGATTCCTAGAAGGCTGGAAATGAGCTTTCCCGACTTCTGAGGTGTCTTTTAATTACTTTTTAAGTTCTTCAAAATTCAAGGTTTTCCCCTCTTGAAAATTATCATAATGAATCAATGAACCCAAAGAGAAAAGGGAGCTTCAGGTTCCCCCCGGGAAAATGTTGATTTTCAAATGGTGGGAAATGAGCTTTCCCGACTTCTGAAGTATCTTTTAGCGACTTTAATTTAAGTTCTTCAAAATTCAAGGTTTTCCCCTCTTGAAAACCTTTAGGTAATTTTTCCCATTGTTATTACAGCAGATAGGCCTTATGTGTTTTTACATACAGAAACAAATTGAGTAGTTGCATACGATTTTTTTTTTCCATGAATCAATAAATCCCAAAAAAGAAAGGGGGGGGGGGTGTCCTGGGGTTCTTTTAACATAAAAGTCAGCTCACGGGTCCTGAAAACGTAGGTCTAGAATTCTTTTTTTCCCCTTATTTTTTGTTGCCCAAGGGAGGGGTCTGGATCCAAGAACCCCTCCCCCAGATCCGCCAAAATGAATTGCGAGAAAATATAACTCGGTCGGGGACTGGATAAGCATTATCTTTCCCATCCTTCTCCTCCTCTTTCCCTCTTTCTTTTCTTGCATTTCTTTCCAATCATACAAAAATCTCCAGACATATATTTTTTGCCAAAAAGTGGGGGGGCTCGCCCCCCCCCCCTCACTGGTTCCGCCGGCCATGTACACATAACTATCGTGGAATCAGTCTTACCATTATCACAAAGCTCTACGATCGTATGATTTTGAATCGCCTAAGAGACCATCAATCCCAAACTCAGAAGTAACCGAACGGGTTTTGGCACAACTGTGGCTCATATATTAACTGTCCGGCGTATCATTGAACAGGGGCGGATCCAGAATTTTTCAAACGGGGTGGGGGGAGGGAGGGGCACAACAGTCTCAGAATAAGTGAGTAGCAACTTTGATTTGCATTGAAAATTTTAAAATTTAATTGCAAAACGTGGGGCACGTGCCCCTTACTGGATCCGCTCCTGTTAACGAAGCAAGACAAAACAATCTCCCTGCTGTATTGACATTCATCGACTTTAAGAAAGCGTTTGATTCCATACATCGAGACATGACAGCGTATTACAGCGTACGACATCCCTTCAAAATTGCTCCGTGCCATTGAATCCACGTCGCACGTCGCACGACGCGTCGTGCCAAAGTGGTAACCAAGACGGTGACACAGAAGAGTTTAACATCTTAGCTGAAGTACTGCAAGGTGACACTCTTGCACCTTTTCTGTTCATCATTGTCCTCGACTACGCTCACATCAAGCCACAAGTGGTCTGGTATCTGAACTTGGCTTCATGTAACCATGCCGGACCTAGACTTTAATAATAATTCAATGAGACTAACTAAAAATAATTTGCGTTCTGCTATGACAAATGCTCATTTAGATAGCCTCATGATGGTTGGAATACATCGTGATAGGTGAAGCAACCTCGACCATGACAACGTGGTTGACAGATTTCATGCAAAATTTCCAAAATATAGAATTTCACTTTCAAGAATGAGGATTTGAAAATAAATTAGATGGTTACATTGCATACTCTTTGTTTCTTACTTTATTAAAAAATGTTTTGGTTTTGGAAGCTGATGTCAACATTAGAAAGCATAGCCTACATGAAGTCATATTATAGTAACTCGATGCCTATCAAATAAGTAATAAAAATTTGCCATAATTCATCAAATATCCGTGGCTAGAGGATCCACTAGGGCCCGGCTGTGGCGGACAGTAATTAAATAAGTACAGTAGTCTCAAAATAATATTCAAATTTATTTATTATTCATTTCATTCACTATAATTCATTCAAATTTATATAATC